CTGGAACAAATAAGGATTGGGTCCAATATCAGTCAGTACACTTAAGCTCAGCATCACATCTTATGTTCATGCATATGTAAAAGGAAACATTGATTGAAACTCTGAGCAGGTCTGTCAGGAAACACAATCACTTCATTTAACACTTAAGTAAGAGATACTTCTTAGGGACCAATAGCTCCTCTTTTAGTTCCTCTCTGATCTCTCTAAGTGTATCCCCCCTCTGATGCCCTTCCTGGGGTGAAACCTCATTAATTCCCCTCTCTGGGATTAGGTTCTAGTCTGTACACAAACTATTGCATAATGATTATTTCCCATTTTAAGTTTCACTCATGAGAAACTGTTAAGAAATAAACAAAGGGGGGGGGGGGAAATTCCCAAAATAAGGTGCAGTTTAAATGTAACAGTAGGAACAAGGAAGAATTCAAAATATTTTAAATTAAATTTCCTTGTGCCTTCTCTGTCTGCATTCTATTCTCCCATGAAGATGAAACAACAGGCCTAGCTGCATGTCAGTCTCTTCCCAGCTAGAAACTATCCAAAGAAGCACTATGTCACCTGGGGAGGATTCTTCCCCCTCCCTATTCACTGGGTTAATTTTTTTACTCCCTTAATTCAAAACTAGTTTATGTGTGATCCAGTGGAGACTTCCAGTGCCATCTGTCCCTTGGTACTAGGTACCATTACTTGTAGTGTTCATTTATGGATGCTCTTGGTCTTGTTTTTGTCTTCTTGATTTTATTTTTTTTAATCCTTCACAGATAGAAAATAATCTGAGGATATATGGCATCCAAAGCATCACAGAATAGGTCCAAATGTCACACTAGAAAGATGAAAATTTCTGAATAGTCCCATCCTGAAATGGCTTAGTGAAGCAAAGTGCCTGCAACAACTTCTGTGCAGGAATGTACTGGGAAATTTAAAGACAGTGGCTGCTCTTTATCATCTCCTTGTAGAGAACCACTCAGGATGAGCACAGCTCATCTGACAGAAGCAGTTTTGCAGGTAGCTCAAACTGGAAAAAAGCACTAAGACACATGAGAATCATTTGAAAGCAGAGTGAATTACTTGTACAGTTGGTATTAACATATGGATGAAACATTGCTTTAAAAGTTCAAACAGCAACAGTCAGCTGAACAAAGTTGGCAGAAGAGTAACAAATGAGTTTTGCAATTGTGCTATTTTTACTATGCAATACCAATACTGTATAAAAGAACAAATGTTGTGTATAAGTTCAATGCCAAACCTAAACCATTACTAACAGTGTTGTTGTGATGCAATTAAAATGTCACCATCATTATTTGCTGAAAAGGATTTCATCCCCCTCCCCAAGCAAGTGTTTTCATTACTGGAGTTTTACTAGGCATGTTTGTGAGAAAGAAAGGTGAAGGAATAACCCAACTCAAATATTTAAAAACATTTAACCGTTCTGGCTCATTGACAACTGTATGCTCTCCCTGTGATTTTTTAAGAGCTGCTGACGCCTCATGGAAAAAACTTTGAAAAACATATTATTGAAAAACAATTTTGCCAATGTGTCATATTTTCTGTCTTATCCCTTCTCTTGCTTTTTACTGCTAGAAGAATCCACATGAAAACAGAACCTTGATTCTTTAGGTAGACAGAATTTGGATCTGAGCTCTGCCAAAGCATGTGGGTGTTTGGATCCTGTCCATTAAAGACATTTAACTTCAGATCCAGGTTCAATCTTCACAAGAAGTGCTGAGATCCAGGATTTTGTTTTGACCCACCCCTGTTACTAAGAAGCTATCTGCTGTCTGTCCTGTTAAGCTACAGGCTTCTGCTAAGGATCTCATAGGTGGCTACTGCTGTCTACATTTGCTGCCAAATTATAAGCATCAGGCACTACTGAATATCTGAGAAGGACAGAGAGTCTGAAAAATTAAGCGGGGGAGGAGGGGAGGCGGAATAAAAGGAATTTTCTCTGATGGTACTGTTGTCTTGAAATAACATAGACTTGGTTTGTGTCTCACACTGGCATAACTTTTGGACTTCAGTGAAATCACACTGACTGAGTACAAACAAAAACCACAGTCTTTATGAAGCTGAAGGGGTTTCTTTTCCCATTCACTGTGTTGAAACAACACATTCCAGCCCAGCCATAGAAGCTCCTGCTGCCTTGTGAGCACAGAAAACAGAGATTCACCCCAAATCTCCCACTCTGCAAATTACTGTGAGTGGAAAAGAAGAGCAAGCCAAACTTTCTCAGCTCAGAAAGATGCCAAACTGGACATAATTTCAAAATAGAATCAAATTTCACTATAGCCTTGGCTCTTTTCCTGATTTAGCTATGCAGGGTAGAACAATGGAAATGCTGGATAGATACGTTCCTTGGGAATGTGGAAGAGGGCATACTTTTCATGTGACCTTGCCCCTCTTTTTATCAAAACACTTCTTACTTTCACTGACATTTATCCCAAGGACGCTAAAGCAAAGAGAGGAAACTAGCATGCACACTAGCTGCCTGCTCCAAGAAAAGTTTTTCATCAGTGGATTTACCAACTGGGATACCTGAGGATGACTGACAGAACTTAGGTGCCCAGGGTTTCTGTTTTATTGTTGCCAAGTCATGAGACAGAACCCACAAACCTAGGAGATGACTGAAAAACTACAATTTTGTGAGGGGCAAGCTGACACCTACCATATGCATTGGGAGAAGGAAGAAAACAGCAACAATACATAAAGCAGTCTCCAGATTCCTGAAGTGTCATCCATCTGCCATCCTCTTACATTGCGTAGTATCACAGTACTAGACAACTTGTCACACAGGCTTTAAAGGGCTACTTAACTTAACTAGAGAGAGATGGATTTGTTCACAGAACTTCACTCTGAAGAACCAGTGACTAGCAGCAGATTGATAGATGAAATAGAAAAAAATTACCAACTCTACTTCAAGTTCTCCACTGTCTTGCACTTCATGTGGTCATTTACATCTGGGCACAGTGAATGTGTAACACTTCCAAACCAGAGAAGCAGTAATTTAAACTCATTTTCACTGCATTAGGCAGAAGACTGAAGAATCAGGCCCTCTCTTACAAGCAAAATGTCCCTGACAATGAATGATGAGTAAAATACAGGCTGTGTATTCCACTTGTTTTGGAAAGCAGTCAATTTAGAAAGGTTACCATAAGACAGAGGCAAAAATCTGCCCCTGAACTCCCAACATCTCAAGCCATAGCCTTGTCAATAGTACACAGGGTGCAAAAGATTATGGCTAGCTCAGGCCATTAGTTTCCTTTCTGGGCAGGAATCCCAGCATAACAGATACTTATGCATATTCTGTCCTCATTTTATCTAATTACAAATATCTCTCTAGGGATGGGGAGGGGAGAAGAGGTTTGATCACACGATTTTAGGTCACTTATGCAAGGTCTTGCTGGGATATGCATTGATCCAAAGACTGCTATATTTCAAAAGTTCCCATAGTAATATAGTAAGAAAAAAAAAAAAAAAGGTATATGTATAATTTTTTCCTATTTCTATGATTTTGTGAAACTGACCAGTAGAAAAGACTTGAATAATGTACTGCTGTAAATCACTAAGGGGCATATGGAAATGTTTAAAATGTAAGGACATTGATTAATGAACAATACCATGTTTTCCTAAACACCATGTGTAAATACATTCTTTCTTTCCTATATTATACCTAATATGTGTATATTAGTGTGTGTACTACACACAGTTTTCTCTGAATAAGACCAATAACACTGGAGAAAAATGGAATAAGGTAATTTAAAAATCAACTTTATGTTGATCTTTTGGATTTCTACTTAATGGTTGCAACTCTGGTGAAAGATACAACATTGTTTCACGCTGATGAAATCTTAAAAGCCACATTTAGGCATCATCTAATTAAGTAAAACAACTTTGTATTAAAGAGAATCACCCCTGCTTTCCCTATATCAACACGGCATAAATCTTCTGCAGTCCAAGAATAAGTACAAAATTGAACAGTACTCATCATCATCACAAAGTACTTCAAACCTGTTCCTTAAGCATGGGAGCAGCAGAATACAGGAGAACATTGGGAATTTCTTTTAGAGAAAAATGCAAGAATTGTTTGAAACTCATATGGAAAGACTGGAAAAGTTATTGGCTGAATAACTGCCTTGGAAAAGGACATCAGAATTGAACAGACATCATTCAGAAGCAGAAAACAGTAGTAACCGAATTTTAAAAATGGATCTAGAAGGTCAGGAAGTATAGGGAGGATTGCCGAAGTCAAGAGTTATAACTTGCAAAAGCTACTAAAAACCAGCAATATTCCTCAGGCATCAAAATAAAAGTGATCCAAGAAAGTTCAGCTGGTTTGCAGCTAGAATGGTACATAGATTAAATGCAATACAGGTACAAGCATAGAACTAAAGGAATGCTGCGTTTCACTGAAATTACTGTGGTGGAATCCACAATGACATTTGTGCAGTCATGGCATAAATTCTGAATCATCTCTGCTCAAGAACAGCAACGTGAAACCATACATCTACCAGCAAGTTCTTTAAACAGATACTGCAAATCATGGTTGCTACTATATTACCAGAGTATAACAAGCAAAATAAGATACACATTGTTAACTGTTTTAGAACACAGGCCGTGGGATTTCAGTAAGGCTGAGCTACAGTTTACTAACACACAATTTTTTTAAGTGCAAAACAATCAAGAACAGTCTTGAATAAGGAAACAACAAAGATGTCAGATTGATACCTGGTGACAAAGTAACTTGATATCTGGCTTCCATAAGATACTTCTTAGCTATTTGGACATCTAGAGAATGTTTCATACAGTAGTATATGAGAAATTACTGAAAATGGAGATCAGAAATATTAAAAGAATTGTGAGAAGACTGAAAAACTACCAAAAGAGGTTTGAACACAGAGACAGTGCTGATGAGAAGTTACTTCTGGAGTCCTGGGAGCTGAAATCAGTATTTCCATTAATGGCCTTGCCACAAAAAGTGTGTGTGTTGAGAAAAGCTAGCCACTTACATAAGCTGAAGGGACACCAAGGAAATTAAAAGCATCAGACAAGAAGAACTGGATGGAGTGAATTCAGTATAAATTTCACTTAATAACTTGCAGATCATCATCTCAACGACAGCTGAAAGGACAGAAGAAGAAACATAACAGTATTAGTCTACCACAAGATAACTGTAAACCAGCAGCACTATACAACCACAAACAAATGCAAAAGCAAGGTTTTCCCAGAAGAGGTAAAAAATAAAGTTATTGTAGAGGGCAAAACCACCTGGAACAAAGTACAACTCTGTCTACTCACACTCAAGAAAGCTGAATGTGAGTAATCCAAGCTGGAGTAGAGACAATAAAGACAATAAATACTTCAGTGACCAAAGGAAGGGAAAAGATAGCGCAGACAGTCTACTATATCAGAACAAGGACTGACAGGACTTATAACAGTGTTGCACAAATGTACAAGTCATAGTGGAGAGGAAGACATGGAGGGAGCAATAGTATTTAAACTAACAACTTCATGCTGGCACCAGAACAAATGGGAATAAACTGGTCACAAGTAGGGCTAGGCTAGGGATTAAAATGCTATTTCCAGCCACCAGAGCAGTGGGTTTTGGAACCCTCCCAAGAGGAGTAATGGGAACAAACAGTCCAAGTGGGGATTTAAGACTTTTCAGTTTATGAAAGAGATTATCTGACATGGTACCAGAGAACTGGACATAAGACCCAGGAACCCTTCTTTAAACCTGCATTTCCATTAACTGAGCCACTGTGGCCAATTTGGTCTTTGTCTTCTTGTCTGAAAGTGCACACACAGGACCCAGTTAGTGGCAACTAGGATGGCAGCCTTTATGATATAGGTACCTATAGAAACAGAACCAGGCTCATGGTGACTATATGCTCAGGACAAAAAGCATAGACTCTTGCTTTAACAGGCACTCTTGCCCACCCTGAGTTAGGCTTTGATCATAGCACAACATGGAAGGAAATCTTATTCAAGACACTCATGGCCCCTTAGGTGCTTTGCCAAGGGACCACTAGCCAGCATCCAAACCATTCTTCCAGAGGAGGGTGCAGAACTCCCTTCAAAGGTAGCCTATATCAAACCCCAGGACTGAGCATCTCCCAGACACTCCAGCCTCAAAGAACTCACTGCTCTTTCATGAAATCCTGTTAGCCAAGTACTCAGAGGAGAACCCTGCACTGCAGGTGCTGCCTGGAACAACCACACAAGAACTACTGGCCAGCTTAACGAGGCCTTTTGGACAAGCAAAATTAAAACCTGAGGGAGGCAGAATGGCAGAAAGCAAAAGAAATATCCAGGCTTAGCAGAATCTCCTCACACTAAGACTGAAATTTTCATGCAGCTTTGGGCCCTGTTGTAAAAAGCAGTACTTATAAAGACAAAAGCAATAGGTCAAACTCCTACAGCTCTGAAAATAGATGCATTGGAGGGAAAAAACCTGACAGGTCCTGATTGATAACCATGCTTGAGGGAAGATGCTTGAGGAAAACTGCTGCAGCAAAGGCTGCAGGGAGTTACTTCTTCCAAACCCTGCTGCATCAGAAAAGGCACATGTGGCTGCTAGAGCAGGAGATGGACATGGTTAATTGACTGGGAAAGTTTAGCAGAGATGAAATTAATGCAAAGAGCTCAGAGCCCAGGCGTGCAATTCTGTTACTAAGGGAAGCAACCATTCGGCTGGAATTGCAATCCATTTTCAGGTCAGAGCCTTTCTCAAAGGCAGAGTGCTCACCCCTCATCCACTGCTCTTCTTCTGTTCTGAAAGGTGCATGGAGGAGAAGGCAGCTGAAAACAGCAGCCTGCGAAATACATTGTCCTTTGAGGGCCAGCTAGGTTTCAACTTTGCATGGTGAGTGTGTTTTGCAGTGAGGAATTCAGAAGACGTGTCAGGAGACAGCCTCTTCTAACCCTAGAACTTTGTGGATAAGTTAGTAGTGGAAACAAAACAGGAAAGTTAATAATAGGGGAGCAGAAGATTTACTTTCAGAACTCAGCAGAATGAGTACCTGAACCAGATATGTTTGCAATCTGGTCAGATGAGAATGCCAGGAGTTAGTTACTGTGGAATCACAGCAACAACACACAAAAATATAAATTAAACAACTATGTTTTTAAAGTAAAGCTGACTGCAGGAGAAGATAGGAAAGATACAAACACACACCACAGACCAGATGACACAGATGATCTTACCCAGTGATGTGCTGCCAACATTTGGATAAGTAGTACCCACGACTTGTATTCCTTTCAGATGGTGTCTCTTTTTCCTCAGTAAGGGAGGACTAGACCTGGGAACTTCTTAATTTCCTCTGCCATTTTAACAAAGGGGGTTTAAATACACATATTTACAAGCAGCCACATAAAACTATTCTCACACCGATTACTTTGAAATCATACTGAACAGACTGGTGCACAGCATTTATATTTTGAAATGCAATAGTTGCCATTTGGTTCATTTCCATGGTAAAGTCTTTGCATCCCAAAAATGCCTTTATTAGCTCTAGGCATAAATCACTGCGATTAAGGATGGTATAACAATAATTTTTTGTGAACTTCTTCCATCAGAGCTAGGCAGGCAGTCTTAATTCACTTTTCCGCTCCTCAGTTTGGTCATGAAAGTGCTAACAAGGAAGGATTCCCACTCACCTTCAAAACATCACTCTCATGCCCAACACCAAAAACAATGCAATGTTGAGTCAATGGTTGATGGTGTGACTAGTGTGACCATCACCAAGTCAAACAGTGCCATGTCATTCTTCCCACAGAATAATGGAAGAAATTACACCACAAAAAGGACCATGATGCTTAATTAAAGCATGATTATAAAGCATTTTTCTGGCACAAAAGTGACACATACTTTACATTGCAAATAACATAGTTTTTCTAATTACTTCATGCTGGAATCTCCTGAAATCCTCATTGTAGGATATGCAGAGAGGAAATCCCAGGTGGGAGAAATTTTATATAGCTGCTTTCTGCTCATTTTGAAGAAACTTCACTTGGTAGAGCTACTCACAGAAGGCCAAGCTAGTTTTGCAGGTCAAGAGAGACTCTCCTTTAGACCTGTGTTTATACATCAGAAGTCAACTACATTTTAGCAAAATTCCAGCTAGTCAGGAAGAGAAGTCACTAGAGTTAAACCTAACTGTGACAATGAGTTCATGACTTACCTGTGTCATAAAACAAGTCAATGGGCAGATTAAATTTAGTAGGCATTCATCTGCCATGCTGCAACCACAAAACAAAGCTGCCTCTCCCTGTGCATAGAGACAAGTCACTGAAATGAGTCTTGCTCCAAGACAGCCCCAAAATGCATCACCTCATAATCCCCATCCGCCTCCAAAACACTCAGGTAGATCACAGAGAGTCCATCCTTCCAGTCCAGAAGCCATTTAAGTCTCTCTTCCTCATCCTGTATGAGGGACCTGAAACAAACCTTTCATTTTGGGAAATGACTCAGGAAGAGCATGTGAGGAAGCAGAGCAACAAACAACACATAAGGCGGATATAAATCCAGATAAAGTATTATAATCATTAAAGGGTTGCTGCTCCCTGAAGGTTGGCAAAACGAAGAGAGTTAATTAAAAGCAATCTCCACACAGTGCTGAGCCAGCCTGCCCTGATAAATCAGCAGCCAGGACTGCGCTCATAGAGGTCAATGGGGGAAAGAGGTTGGGAGGCAGGGGAAAGCAAGGAGAAGATAAAACATTTAGCTGAGACTACTGACAAAAACAAATTGGATCTGGTGGCAGAAAATGGAGAAGGGTTTTCAACGTATTTCCCCCACCAACACTATTTTGTTAGATTTCAACCTCAGGAATGCCTGTTTGCCACCAACATAATACCAGTAACCTGATTGAGTTCCCATTCATTTGCATCAGCACAGGAAGAGAAAGAAGCAAGAAGCCTTTGGAGCCCCATCCTGCCTGTGAAGGTATTAACATCACTTTCATCCACATGCCATTAGATCACTGAAGGGTAACATCACCAGTGTTAACAGAAACATCATTTGTGGAGAAGCAGATCCTAAAAATTAAAGGATCAGTCAGATATGATGAAGCAGTAGAAGTTCCCATCACCAAACCTCACCCATCACATCTCACATGCCTCTTAATTTGTACTATCCCAGCTATAAAAGGTACTAATCTCTGAATTAAAATTGTGATCATGATTTAATCCACATTTCACATAAATAGGTATATGTTAATGAACTAAAAACTTTGAGGATAAACAATCTCTAGAAAACACAAAAACCTACAGTCTTTAGTAGTTCAGAAAAAAAAAATGCATAAGCAGTCAGGGAAAGCTTGTAGATATAAGTGAGTTCATTATATGATTTCTGATATTGAACACTCAGGAGAGCAGCCTCACATATAATGCCCACCAAAGGAGTTTAGCAGTAAAATAGCTTTATGAGCCACTGTTTCCATTATTCTTTATTCAGACTGCACAGGTTTTAAAGTAATCATAAAAATAAAATGTATTTGTCCCCATCATTGACTAAACACAGTCTTTCAGGAAAAAATATTGAGACCAAAATACTTGAGAAGTCACAAATCTATGGATTACTTTCTACAAAACTGTTCTTGAAAGGGAAGTGGAATAAAAATATAGACATTACTTTTCCCTTGAAGAAATAATACTAACTTTGTGTCTCCACAATAAGTTTCTTTTTCACAGTGTTCACTGGTTAGTGAATTATCTGGGCTATAACTCCAGCCACCATGATTTTTCTCCCAACTCTTTGAGTAGTCACATTAGGTTGTAGATCCACAGGAATACTAGAAAATCCAAAGTTCCTAGAAGCAGACCAAAAACTTCACAGCCCTGTGACACAAAGCATTGAACTGGTGTTCACTTACTCTTCCAAAACATAAAAAGCACCCAAAACATTTTCAAGAGGGAATTTTGTTCCAACAGCCATAATCTATCTTCCTGTGGCTCTCATGAAGCCAACTCAAAGCATAAAAGCAGCATAAGCACTGTACTTTGCATTTTGGCAGAAGTAGCATGCCCACATCTGATCAGATCAAATCAGCCCTGCCAGATGATGCGGTAGGGCAGACTGAAATTAACCAACTCAGGGCATGGCCTTATTTCACTGCTCTGCACCTGATTTTCTTTGCACTGTCCAACCTATCTAGATTTTTGAGAACTAAAAGGCAGGATGCATTAAACCATGTGTTGGTAGAAAAGTTAGCACAATGTCTTAACAAAGGCTTTGTATATTGTACCACAAACAGGAATCTGAGCAAAAACAGGGGAGAGAAACTATAAGTTACATAGAGTTCCTTTCTTTTGCATAGTAAAATGTCATATATGTTACAGTTAGAATTTTATATTCATTTATGAAAATTACCAGAAAGAAAGTAGAAAGTTATCAGACTAACAGAACTCACAGTTTTGTATGAATGGAGAGATGATCCTCAGGTTGGATCAATTTTGTCACAACAGACTGTGACATTAAATATCACTTCCAGCCTTTCTTACCAGAAGAACACTGATGTAGTCAGTGTCCCCATCAACACCTGAGCAGGAGACTCTCTCCCAGCTACAGTTCAGCAGAACATGGAATTAATGCATCGGGATTTGGCAAGCACACGCTGCTGATCACAGCCACCTAGTGCACACTCATCAGTACCTGTCCCTCCCCTGCTCTTGCTGCTCCACTGGTTCCCTGTGAAGCCTCCCCTCAGACAAGGCTGGAGTGTCAGTAAAACCTTCCATGTGGCTGGAATCGCAACTCTCTGACCGCACCCGGCTCAGGCAGGTAACCTGAAAACCGAGACACGTGCTGACATACTCCTGCTGCTATTCCCACTCTGGAGAGGATGGTGGTGTGAGAAGGATATTTGCCAGCAGCCATTGAGACACTGCATTATTCTTTTCTGAGACATCTGCTGGGAATCTGTGGTTAAAATATGCTCTGCTGGGAAATAAACCATATATAACAATTAATTTTAAAAGTATCATGCTTTGAATAATTTAGGCTATTAAAGATAAATAAGGATTTTAAATTTTAGGTATTTAAGCATTCACTTACAATATTTGTGTTCCAGGTCACTCAATTTGGACAGTAAAAACAACTGTGCAGCTCTCTTCTTTCTTTTGAAATAAGAAAGAAGAAAACCGCTTTCTGCTTCTCATGCACTCATCCAGAGTACATAGGTTTGTTCCACAAACTGTAGAGAAATTTTTAAAAAAAGAAGCCACCTGAAAATTTCTGGTTTTGAAAAAGAAAAGTATTCTAAAGTATGATTCCTTTTAGATTGTGTTGTTGAGATAACTTTCCCTTTAAGAAACAAACCAGTGCAAAAACTGAGACCTTCACTAAGGAAGTGATTAATGCTCCTCAGTCTCTGCATCCTGGGCAAAATTGCCAGGCAAAGCCAGAAGAGCAGCACAGTCCTAATGAAGCCCTCAGAACAGGCCTCAAGCAACACTGCCTTGGTGCTGCCTGTCTGCACATGGGAGTATGTCACCCCAGACAGGGAAACCTCAGATCAGAGGTTGGTCTCTCCAAGGATAAAAAAAAAAACAACTCCCGGAACAGATTCATTCCACTCCTACAAGTCCTCAGGGATAAACAATACAGGAATGGCTCTTGCTCAAGGCAACATCACATACAGACAACACAGTGATGAGCCCAGAATAAATACCAAGATTGTAAAATTGATCCACTGAGCAAAGAAATTCAGCTCTGACATGAAAGACAAAGCAGAGTGAGAAAATTCCAGATTCGGCATATTATAATGCTAAAAGAAGGTTTATTCACAGCCAGTGGGGGCTTTGGAATGCCTCATACAGAAGAGCTACAGCCAACTGTTATAAGCTTTAGAAGACAGACATACAAGATGGACAAGGTCTGCTCTCAAGAGCAACCTTCAAATACCATGCTTCCAGTTTTAGGAAAGCAGAGGAGGAAATCAATTTTCATTAGGCTCCACAAAGGATGAGCCACACGACCTTCCCCATGACTCAGACTGACACATATCCCACTTTGCTCTGCGTACCTGACTTCTGTGTAAAGTATTCCCACTTGGACACTGTGAATCCTATCTAATGGTCATCATGCATCCAGCCCATTGGACAAGTGCTTACCTTGAAATTATAACACCCTCCAAAAAATCATACCTTTAGGCCTCTGTAGTACAACCCATATAGTTCAATATTGCTTTCATACACCAGAAATAATATGTTTTAAAAACTTTTTCTTCAGTGGCAATTTTGAGATATATCTTTCATCCATCCATGCATCTAGACAGACTGTGAAAGACTGAAAGACCAACAAAACAAAATTACAAAAGCACTGCAACAACTAATCATTCATTAGTGAGTGGTGGAATCAGACATAGCACTGTAACAAGCAACATGCCATTTTTCAGAGCCTCCCATATTCAAAACCAGTGTATCCTTAGGTCTTCCAACTTGCCTTTCTGCCTTCCAATGACTTTGGTTTTATGCTTATATCTCCCCATGTAAACACAGTACCATTCATCCCATTTTCTCTGAAAGCTGCTGCTGAGATATTAGAAAATATGGTTTTCATGTGGACAACAGTTTTGATTTGAAGTGTGTCACATTAGGGCTCATTTGTGGTTTTAAGTAACATCAGAACCACACTGGAATTGCTGTAGAGATTTTGGTACATGGTTTAATGTGCCCAACAAACCCTGTTCTGTCAAGCAGAAGAAAATTCCCTTTTGCGAGGCCACATTAAAATCACCTCCACATCACTTGTAAACACGGAACTAGCAACCTGTCTGTCTATTTTATTGCTTCCACCCGCTGAAAGCAGCACTGCACGTTATACATTCACTTTAATATTAAAAATCAGCAACCAGATGCTTATACAACAATGTCCACCAAGAAAAAAAAAAAAAAAAATCAGTCTTCATCAGCACTTAATCAGGACATAGGGCTGTTTCAGGGATGTGTAATGGGATACAGGACCTTCCAGTTAAGAGTCCCCAGCCTGAGTTTAAGCCAGAATAATCACGAATGAAATACTCTTGCCATACAAGATCCACACTGGTCTCTTGCCAATGTGAAACAGGGATGCAAACATAGACCATTTCTTCATAGGTGTCTCATGACACAGAATTCATCATCACAAGGAAGGTCATTTGGCAGCCCAAAGGTCGGGGTTGGCTGTCAAGGCAATTTTATCTGAGAAGGTACAGCAATTGAAAACCCAACTGCTGCTGTGTGCTTGCAGTGGGAATGCGGATACAGAACAGGCCTGGTAGATCAGCTCTGTGCTGTAGATCTAGCATTGTGTACACAAACCTGTGATGATCTGCTCCCCAAACACCTGGCAGAGAATAAGTGTCCCCAAGTATATCAAAGTTATCCAACAACGCAGTCAGCACGGAAGCGAGATCGCTGCCCTGAGCAGAAGGGAGAGCACTGGCACTTCTAAACTCCTGGGAGGCAACAGCTGTCTGGTGAGTGTCCGGCAGAGCGCTACACGGCACGGGGGACCTCACATGCTGAAATGGTAACAACCTATGTTCCACTTAGTGTGTTTAATTGACAACCCGAAATAAAAGTCATTCGTGGGAGTAAAGACAGAGAAGGGGCGGGAGGAAACCAGCTCTGCTTCTAGACAAGGCTGTGTAAATTACAAGGTCTTAATTACATTAAGTGCATTATGGTACCATATGCACATCACTAATAAGGCAGAGATGGAGGAAATGGGACTAAATGCTAAAACTGGAAGTTGAATGCCTGCATTCTAGACTTCATCTTTTAGAGAGATTCTGAACCACTTTGTCCTAGTTTAGCCATCCATAAAACAAAGGCAATAATCCTTTCTTCACAGGGGCGTTGAGAGGTTTAATTAATTAATGTTTACAGAGTCCACTGAGATTTCTGACTGACATTTGAAGTAATTCAGAATACTTTCTAAATGCATTTGTTTCTTCTACTGTACCACTCAAATGTCTTCATATTAAAATATCCAAAGAAGAAGATGGAAACAAAAAATATGGAGATACACACACAAACTAGTGGGGGGAAAAAAGCATCAACAACTTCAGCACTTTGAATCCACTGCTGTCCCATCAAAGCTGTCAGAATACTGCCATTTCTACAGACGAAGAAGCATGTGCTTGTCCAAACACCTGCTACCTTTACCTTGCAGATCTGTTAAACTTAGATCTCAGATATTTTTGTCTGTAGCACCGTGTTGGTAAACAACAAGCTAATAAATGGCAGAAATAACAGACAGTCATGTCAGGTAAACTGGTGCACCAGAGGAAGTGAAGGGGAGAAGAGCAAAGGGAAGAAAGCACCACAAGAGAACCAAAAAGTGACAGAGAAAGAGGCAAGTTGAATAGGGAGAAACCAATCATTAACAAGGGACTCCACACACTGAGCTGTTCTATGAAATGCATTCCCATAGATGCTCAGGTACTGGAATACATTATTCAGAAAGAGTAGTGTAGCATGAACAAGGCCACATGTGTGTCCAAGTGCCAGAGATAAACTGAATATTAGACACTCCTAAATGCACAAGCATACACAAGGAGCTGCTTGATACCTGAGCCAGGATTTCTCAGTCCCTACATTGTCCCCCATTTCGGAGCAAAACCTTTGTGTGGCCGGTTTCTGTAGGGGGCGTTTGTGGGTTCTGAGATACAATCAAAACGCAGACAGAGGAAATGCAAATGTCATTCAGCTCCCGTTCATTGTCAGGAAGGACACATGAGGATAAAACAATGTGGACTGCATCCCTCCCCTATTATGTGTCCTCCTGCTTTTGTCCTAATTTATCCCATGCATAATTTATTTACATGTGTATTGTTTCCCGATCAGCAACTTTAAAGAATAAGTGAAAATTATAAAATGTTTTATTAAACAAGTTGTCAACAAAATTACAGATGGTGTCAGACAGCCAGTACCAATTCTACTTCCTCCACATAGCCTTAATACTTTAAAAGGCACACAGAGAAAAGCGAAACCAGCACTTGATGTCTATTGTTTCCTCCTCTCACACCCCCCAGGGGCGAGGGGAGGAGAAGGGAGCTAATTATAAATGGCCTCATCCTGTCCTCCCAGACTTTAGCAGCAGCGGGATCGGGCCCCGATTCATTTCGGCACAAGCGGCCCTTCGGCAGAGAGCGCCGCGGCTGCCGGGAGCCCCACGGTGCCACGAAGTGCGAGGCGAGGCGGCAAGGTCCCGTCCGCCGGCGGGGCGGGGGCCGGGGCCGCCAGCCGTGCTCCCGTGGCCGCTCCTGGGAGCTCCCCGCCTCCCTCTCGCCGTCCCCAGAGGCCCCCGAGCCCGGGCTTCCCCGCTACCGGCAGCAGCCGCGAACGGCGCACACATCCGCGGTGCTCCGTGCCCAGGTGCAAAGCCGGGCGGTGCGGCCCCGGGGTGCTCTGCCGGCGCCCGGCAGCGCCCGGCGGCCGGGAGGGGCGCGGGGAGAAATCGCTGTCGCCTGCACAAGCGTAAACCTGCCGTCGAACGCGGGGGGAGAAACGCTGCCTCTGCCGCGCGGTTTTCAGAGCGCGTTCAGTCCCTCGTCACCCACCCATGAGGACACTCGGACTTCTTCGATTAACCCCCTGCAACTGCGCTCCCCTCTCCCCGCGGATTTTTATATCCGAGAGGGCGAGTAAATGAAAGCAAAGGTTTTTCTGCCAGGACGGAGCAGGAAAGCTGATAAACATGTCAGCACCCCTTCCCAGCTCGAGGCTTTCCTTTCCCTCTGGATCGCAGAGACACAGCGGCAGAAATCCCTGGAAAAACCTTCAAGTGTTTTTCCAACTCTAGGCGGAGAGACTCGAGCCGGGAAAAAAAAATAAAAAAGAAAGAAAAAGAAAAAACCTCGCAGCCCTAATTTCATCTCACAAAACTCAAAGGTATAAAAACACCCACTCAGCGCAGCCAGAAAGTGCAAGCGAAGCGTCACCGCCAGGTACTCTGCTTCCCTGCTTCACTAGGAAGAGCGCTGCCCCCGTTAGCGGGGAAGTCGTTTGAAAAAGGTTAAGATAGCTCCGCTCCCCACATACGGTGCCAAATCCCACTCTCCCTAATGCCTTCGGGGATTAGCGGCGTGCGCTGCAGACCACAAGGAAAATAAAGGACGCGATCCAGAAGACGACAACCGGCTCCCGCGGTGCCCCTCAGAAATCAGCCTTAGTTCCAGACCGGGAGCCCCGGAATACCTCCGCAGCAGAAGTACCTGCCCCCTCCCTCTCTCAAGCTGGGGTCAGACCCCGTCCGTACAACCCTCGGCGGCTTGTGCCCGCTCTCAAGATGGAAATACAATCAACTCTCTTTGCCACTTTGAAAAGCGAAAGCCTGTCATATGCAAAACAGATCTCCGGACTTCCTGCCCAAAATCAGCGACCGGCAGTCCCGAGTCATTCATTTCACCCAAGTCTGCTTCCCTGCCTCGCCTCTCCGCTCCCTCTCCTGCACGGGCGCCGAGGCGCACCGGCAGAGCCCCCGCCGCTCCGCTTTCCGACCGCCCAGCCGAGAAGGGAGGGGGGGGTCGCTTCGTCAAGACATCCCAACTCCCCAAAGATTTGTCGAGGCAACTCCGAGCCGCGGTGGGAGCGCGGAGGCACCGCGCACCGAGCGCCCCCGCGGGCCGGTCGGTGCCCCGCCGAGCGCGGTGGCGAGGCCAGCCCGCCGGGGCAGCGGGGGCAGGACGCTGTCAAGTGCGCGCACCCCTGCGGGACGCGGCCGCCGCCGACCCCGCGCTGAGCTCCGGGAGCGCCGGGCGGGCTCCCCGCCGCCGCCCCCCGGCCCGACGCCCCCCGCCCCGCGCCCGGGAGCCAATTAACCCAACAATTTTTTTCCTCGTTAATTTCGGCGCGAGCCGCGGGGATGTGTTGCACAAAAAACGAGCGAGCCGCTGGGGCAGAAAGGAGGGCGGTAGGAGGGACCCGCCGAGAGGCTGCCGGCACCCGGCTCCGGCTGGCAGCCGGCGCCGGAAAGGCGCCTTTTTTCATATTTAAACCACGCGGAATATGTACATTTTTGATTCCTACTTACGCTTTCAGGGGGTTGTGAATGACAGTCGCCATTTTGCTACAATGTAACAGAATATTGTGTCTCGGAGTTCTAAAGGTTCGCTCAGGGGAAGCGGCCAGCCAATGGCAGCGCGGCATACCGGCCCGCCAGCCAATGGCGCGGCGGGGGCGGGGCCGGGGCGCTGCTAGTTATTAGGGGAGCTGTCAAAGCCCAGAGGTCACTCCCTCTCCCTGGAACTGGCGGCGAGCAGGTCTTAAAGGGGCAGCGCCGCCGCCGGGGCCGCCGCCGCGCCGGGGGCACCCCGGGCTCCAGCGAGGCACTTCCCCGCCGCGCTCCGGCCCCGGCTCGAACGCGCTGCGCCGGGAGAGGGGAAGCCGGGCTCGCTCCTCGTCCTCTCGCACCGCCGCCGCTAGCCCCCGGTTTCCCAGGTGGCTTGCCCCGCTGGGGGAACGAGCCCGCGCTGCCCGCTCGCTCCGCACGCTGCTTCCCTTTCTGCACGGCCGCGCTCCCCGCAGGTCTCCGTGAGCCGCCGGTTCTGGCAGCGGCTTCAGGGCAGCGCCGCTCCCGCTCCCCCTCCCCCAGGAATTTCCCTCTCCCTGTCAGTCATCCCGGCCCGCAGCCCCTGCGCCCTTACATAACACGCGGCGGCCGGACCGCCCGGCCGGCCCTGCACAGCCCCGCTCCTTTCTCCCACAGAGCAACTTGTGGCGCGCCGGGAGCCGGGCCCCGTCTCCGTCCGACACAGGGAGCCGCGAGGGGAAGAGCCCTGACCCGCGTTCCACCGGACATGCAGCCCTGCGGTGGGACAGAAGGCGGAGGCTGGACCCCGGAGCGCGGCAGGGAGCAGCAGGCAGAGCCCATTCCTGGGCAGGCGGCGAACTCCAGGAAGCCTGGGTTTACCTGCAACTAATTAAAGGAACTTGCGAATGAATTATGGAGCATGACCCAAGTGATTTAAGAGGTGTCAATCCTGATCTCACTCTCAGATACTGATTTCACTCTCAGAAGTAAACTCACTGAAGTTCACGAAATTGCTCCAGTGTAAATTAGGTGCCAACAAGAGCAGAATCAAACACGTTTTTTACTTGTCTGATAGCAATGTCAACTTTGTCATCTCATACTTTTCTCCCACTCCCAAAAGCCTCATTTCCCTCCAGGCATGCTCCATCATTCTAAAAAACACAAACGAGCACCACCAAAATCAAGCCTACATTGCCATTCTTTGCATCTATACATCCAGAAGAAACTCAACTAAAGACAATTAAAAGACACTACTGTCAAAGCAGAGGGAAAAGTGAGGAAAAACTAGAAGAACATTTTCATTCCCAACTTAATGAATAACAGAATGAAAATAGTGATGTTTGTAAGACATTACCAGAAGTAGAAATAGCAATCTTCCTGGACTGAACTTGAAAAAGTAAAGACAACCAAAATCTCTCTTGCTCAACTACTTTACAAAATAAAACTTTCCAATACTGGGGCAAAAGAGAAAAGGAAGAGGAATGGAGAACAGAAAGAGTATGACTGTTACTCATAGTGAGGACAGGTACATAAGTGTAATGCAGCGGTTTTCTGTTCATTAAGGATTCATCAGAAGTTTGCAAAAAGTTAAAATTTAGGATCTGTCTAGTGTCCCTCTTTCTGAAACTTTACTTATTCCCGCTACTAGGTCAACTTAGGTACTGTGCCAGGCGTATATCCCTGGAGGGAAGTATCTCTTCCATCAAAGCAATCTAAGCCATTTGGTTACAGGCACTGCTTAGGAGAAATAAGCTTTCTGTCAGCTGGAGAGTTTCCAAGATGCTGAGATCTATCCCAAAACAGTTCTGGGAAGTAATCTTTAAGAACGTTTCCATTATCATATTACATTATATTATTTAATATATAGTGGTCCAGGTGACATTGAATGCAACGTCAGAACCTCCCTGCTTAGTACCTCTCACTGCTCACAGGAAAAGCTAACCACAAACTGCCAACTTGTCACAAGCGCACAGTTGATGTGTGTGCTGCAAAGAAATAAATGGCAAATGGCATAGCGTGCACCTGAACTGGTGACCACAGACTAGCAATCTACACCCCATCTCACTACTACGACGATTTCTGGCTTGACTTTTCTTGTTGCTGTGATATTTGCTTGATGGCAAACACTTGAGTTCTTCCTGTAGGATGGGCAGTATTCGCTTGTGGGATAATGATTTTGCTTCACATATAAGAAAAAAACAGCCTAGGACCGTATCGCACTGCAGAACAGGAGATAGATTTGTGTTACTGAGAGAAGGTACCAAAATCTGGCCAAGCTCTAGAAAGCCCTGAGATTTTCTAATGCAAACTGGTGACATTTTCAAATAATTAAGAAACCCTGTTTGAGGTCACGTTTAGAAGTTTAATGAGTCCCTCTGGTCCTGTTTTGTTGGATATATAGGCCCATTCCTGCTCTGCAGGCCGTGAGCTCTTGGTACAGCTTGGCAGGGAGTGTATTGCAAAAACAGGATGAAGCCATACAGGCTTCCCTGGCTGCTCCTGTTACTCAGACGTTGGGCCTTTATCAGCTACCAGCAAAAGCAACAAACAGTGAGAACAGGCACAGATGACCTTGGATTGTTGATAGCCCTTTTCCCAGGCAGACCCCACGTTCCTGGCTAAGAGAACCAGTCAACAGCACTGCCTCGCTCAGAGGAATCTCCAGGACACCCAAGGACAGAGCTGCCATATCAGAGCAGTGGGAAGTCTCACCTGCAGTAATGAAGAGATCAGGCTTTGCTCACACGTCCATATAATTTGCCCACAGTGTTTTTCCTGTAGAATCCCACAACAGTTAGATTACCATTTTAGCTGAAGGAAAAAGCACAGAGCACTGATGGGAATTTTGCTTGTAATGAACTACAGAACTTGTTTACCTGTTCACTGTTTGCAAGCAGGAGGAACATCACAGACCTGTATTAATAAAAATTTCATGCCACACCATAGTTACCTGTATTTTTACATATACACCAGTCCATCATTGGTAGGTTATTTATGACCTAAATTTTAGTTTAATTTTTCTTCTGATTTGAGTGTACCATAAGTCACTAATCAGTAATGCTACTGTTGTTTTACATCCTGAAAGACCAACAAAGTTGAGACACACTCAGTTACATATACACTAAATCACAACTTCAGGATTTTTACATTTGTACTTAGTTACTGTTAGTTTTATTCACACTCACCTGAAACATAGCAAGGAGGCTGCAAGAAAGTATAAATAATTTAAAAGTATATGGCATAAAAAGCCCTAGGTGGGCATATTCTTAATGAGAGCTTGCCAAATGTTTGGACAGCCAGCACATAAATTTTGAAAAAGGTAAGTTTTGACACAAATCTATTGGGGTAACATCTGTAGCATTAACACAAGGCCTGAGCATGCTGCATCTATAGGGTCAGAGTGAGCAGGGCTTTAGAAGAGAGTCCACCACCTCACCTCCAGCCCCTCATACAGAACTGTAGCTTGTCTCTACTCAAGAAGAAGAAACAGTGTCATATCTTCTCAGTGTATTGGAAGTGTCATGTCTCATAATGCTGCTCTCCTGATCCACCTCTGTTTCAAACATTTTTACTATTTACATAACCCTGAAAAGCTTTATTTTAGCTGAAAATATTTCAAACTGTGAAAGAATTTTTACCTTGTATCTTCTGCTTTCCGTTTTATCTTGTTAAGTTTCAATGTAGAGTTGCTGCTTTCTGGAGGGAAAGAAAGATAGATTCTTATCATATATTCCTCAACTCTTGTGAACTGGAAAGTGAAACAAGCTAGACACCAACATTAGAAGCCACAAATCTAATTTTGCTGTGGAAGGAAACAAAGAACAGAGCTGAAAAATAAGTGGTTTCTGGTAGATTAGCAACTGTTAAATATTCTCAGGTATTTCTAGTGATTTATAATTTTCTTTTGTTAATATATATTAATATTCAAAGTAACAGATTCATATAGGTCTAAATAAGATAGTGTGCTGTAATGTAGCTTCTTACAGCAAAACAGGGCCCCACATGCACAGATATCCTGCAAGAGATTTGAAGCCTTAACCCCTTTTTATTTATTAAAGTTGTGCAGGCATCTCTCATACACTGTTTCTTGTCAGCCCTCCTCCTCCCTTTCTTTGATCTTTACCAATAGTTGCTTAGCTGAAAGAGGAGGAAAAGATATCAGAGTGTCAGTGTTACAGACTCAACACCAACCTTCTACAGACACATGCCCAAAAAAATTACATAGTCAGCATAACAAAGATAACTATGGAGCTATACTGTGTAAAAACTGGCACCAACAATTCATTCTTCACAACTTTAGGAATTGTATCCATGAAAGGGACCTCAAATTTTTAGCTTTTTTCTTAAGCAAAATTTCCCCTCTAAACCTATAGCAACAATTCTTGGACATCTTTAGTGTATCTTGATTTGAGGCCTGATTCTGTTACCCAGTTTTCTTTATTGTATGCACTATTCAGTTTTTTATTACTTGTATGCTGATGTTTGGACTCAAACCCATTATATTTTAATGGGATGTTCTGATAAAATACATTTTAACACTAAAGAGGAGTCTCTACTAGCAAGATGTACATGGAGGCCTCAATCTGAAGTTTTCAAAAATTTGGGGAGACAGAAGTTCCCAGAGCCTGGTTCAAGTCTGTCCCTAGTTTAACAAACTGCTCAAAATCTGTTTAGTGTGGCTGCCAGAAGAGTCTTTGTCATGCATTGTTTTTAAATTTCCCCAACAATAGAAAATAATGTTATGAACAAGCTGCTTCAAAAGGACATTACAAGACTTTCTGGTAGCCACTGCAAACCCACAGTAATAGTAGGAAAAGGAACCTAATAAAACAGACACATCCTCTGAAGAACACACATTCAGCAGCTATCGTTGCCCTCTCCTTCAGGGGAGTCATTGGTAAAATTTAGATGGGACAAAACTGAATTCCCATCAAAAAGCAAATGATAGAAAGCACCTAAGAATGACTTGTCAAAGTTTATTTTGAAATTCCAACAGAGACACAGGTCTATCTGCCTTATTTCTTGAGAAACTAGTTTGGGAAAAATAAAAAAAAAAGAAAAAATCATTCAGGAAAATAAAATAATAAAGAAAAAAAAAATTAAAAATTAAAGAAACAAGAAAAGGTGAACACTTTGGGAGTCCTTTTCACTCTTTCCTTCATTAAAGGTAGGAAAAAATATTTTTACATTACATCCATCAATGGGATACAGAGGTGGTACCTTGATGCATCTGAAACATTGCTGTCTCCATCCTCCTATTCCCTGTACAAAGATGAAAGCGAGTTTCAAAGGTGACTTAATCCTTGGAGGGAGCAGGTGGTATAGATTAGGGAACAATCAATAGATGATCTGACTGCCCCTAGAAAAGTTCCTCATTACTACTCTGAATGGAGTTCAGGGATACTGTCTACCTATGATTTTAACCACCTTTAAACAAAAACTTCAAATGTGGCCCCAAAGGTGGTACAACATGACTTCCTCTTGCCCATGATGAGAAAACAGAATGTAATAACCAGCTAATCAACCTTATCTCTTATAAGCCCAGAGCACACAATATAATTATGATTCTAAGACAGGTTTAACATTTGGATTGAGCATAATGGATAGCACCCTACCTGAGAAAATTAACAGCTGAGAAAAACAAACTGCCACACTCATCCAAAGAAAGTGCTAACTTTGAATCTGCTTCTGATTTGAACTGCCTCACCTTTCCTTCCTTACTGATGACACCACCTCAAAGAAAGGAATGAGTATTTTGCTGTGATTATCTGCTTACTCCACTATGATGATTTTTTTTAATAGAGTAGGCAGAAGTGAGCTGTCCAGACACAGCTTAAATGTAATGACTGCAATTGTTTTCTTTCAGTATTCAAGCTTTCTTGTTTACAAATTGAATTTTGGTCTTTGGAACAAGCACTATGATAAGTAGGCTGCTTTTGTAGCACGTGCAGGAGCTGTACAGCTAACAACAAAACCAGTCTTTTTAACTACGTGGAAAATTAGATTCAGCATGAAAATATCTCACCTGGTAATTTTTTTTTTTTTAGTTCAACATTATTTGTGAAATGCTTTTAATTTCAATGGGTTTTTAAAATCATTTTCATAACACCTTTAATGTTTTCACCCCCTCTTCCATATAAATACAAAGGAATTATAGTATTGCATTCTTTTTTTTTTCTTTCCTTGTATTTTGTTGCATTATTTCCAAAACAATCTGTAACTTAAAATATTTTTTACTTTGTAAAAATTTAAAGTAAGAAAAAGAAACTCTGATGGAGTGGTTGCACTGAAAAGAAAAACATCCACACAAACTGCAGTTTAGAATTAGTGAGGGGGTAAGAAGGCACTAGTTCATTTTATTGCATCAATTGGCCAAAAACCAGAGGAAAATGGTAGTAAGGGGGAAATAAGATTACTTTAGCTATGTCTTAAATCCTGTTAAACAGAAACAGTTTCAAAATTGTCACAAAACTGTTCTTCCATTTCCCATCCAACTTTACCTTGGTAGAGGGGAGAAACAACAGAAAGTTGAGGATTGACCTGCCTAAAATACCAGTTTAGGTCAACTTTAAAAGTTGATGACGACAAATTTCAGTGAACAAATGCAGTACTGATATAACATAAAATGATCCTGGGAATCCATCAGTCAATTATTGCAGTCAATGTCACAATGAAGCCAGCCCAAAAGTCTCTCCAACTGGACCCTGTGGAAGTAATCTGATATAAACTTCCCCAAGCCAACCAGGATCTCAGACCAGAATTCAGAATAATTTTACTGATACTTTTTAACCATGATAACCACATGGGTAACGTCCTTTACATAAAACCAGCACTGCCACAGGCAATGTGTTATTTGTTGGGCTTTTTTTGTTTGATCTTGTTTTTTAAGCAAAGCTGGATCAGCTTTGCTGTCAGGACACCTTCTTCAAATGCAGTAGCCACGTCTCCAACAGGAAGATCTGCCACACCAGTCTTGCTCCAGCCACTCTCCTCACACATCTAAGCCCTTGTGTCAAGTCTTCTACTTGCTCAGGCTTCTGCTAGAGTTCACAGGCCTTTGCTGACACTAGGACTCTGTGCTGCCTCAGCAGAAAGCGCCTAAGAAGAACTTGTCAAAGTTTATTACAAAATCCCAAGTGACAAAAAAAGATGATGGGATACTGCTTGATGCAAGGTCCAGACTTTTACTCCCACTGATGATGCTTATTAGGCTGTTTCTAAGACTATCCTGTGGAATCTTTGTGCCATTCCAACAAAGCCTCCTAGTGCAGGATTTACAAGGCATCTATATAGACAGAGGGACAGATTCTCATCTTTCATGTGTATTACTGATATGGGCCAGTTTCCAGTGTGCCCAGATAGGCTATAGAGGCCCCAACTTTCTACCCAGTATGCCCACAAACTATACACTCTTTCCCTCACGGTGCCACAAGCAGCATTCACAGATATATATTTAACCCATTTTCAGATCCCAGGCTGATAGGATTCCTACCCAAGAGTGGAATACAAGTCTAAAGACAACATCATCACATAAAACTCCATCAGGCCAACTGTGCCATATACAGAAAATTCAAGTTCCCTGCTTCACTATTCCTTCCAGTGCCTGCTTTTGATGGGGCTTTTCTTGTTTGTTTTAAAGGTCAACAGCCAGTTAGGAGCATGCCAGCCTGTACATTCGAGAAAAGAAGGCACAAGCATCTTCAGCATCAGAAAAAAACCCCAAAGAAACCTGCAAAAGGAAACCTTTCAGCACTTTGAGTATTTTCGCACCTGTCATGCCCAGGAATGATCAAGCACTACAGTTTTTAAACTGGCCAAAACTTTGTAAAGCTGAAGCTTCATGTAAGATCAGTCAACTACTAAGAACAGCATTTTACATATGGTGAATTCTGCACTCCCTTGCAAACCCAAAGAGTTTGCCAATCTCACACGTAGCAGAATGTTTCCTCTCATCTGGTGTTGATGGCTAAAGTCCTTATGAAATACTATTTAAAAGCACTAGAACAAGTCTGATAGAATAAAAACATCTACAAAGAATACTGCCTGCTGCAATGGTCCAGCTTGCAGAAAGTAGAACAGCTTACCCCAAATTATTTTCTTAGGGAGGGTTCTCTCTGCTTGGCTCCTGCAAGCATCAGCATCTCACTACAAAATGCAAGCAGTGGGAATCCAGCTTTCAGGAACCCTGTGCAACCAACAGCCACAAAATAAAGCCTTATGATTGATTACCCAGGTTATGACACTTCAGAAATGGTATAGCAGGCACAACTGACCTGCAATCTTTTCCATTCCCCTTTGGCGCTGCAACAGCTTCTTATTCTTTACAAGCCATTGACTAGTTCTTCTCCAAGTTCTTTTTATTAAAACCTTTTATCTCCCCACACAGCAACAATTTCTCCTAGCAATCACGACCATCCACTCTCATCACTCTTCTAGACAGAGGCATTGGCCAAATCCACTTTGAGAGAAGGGGAAGGATAAGACAGTCTGAGTTATACTTGCATTTATTATGGGAGAGGTGCTTATTGCTTGAGATCACTCTCATAATCAGACAAGCAATGGTTTCCCTTACTCTATTTATATAATTGGAATAATTCACTAGCTAACACTTTTCGCAGCCATATGCATGCCAACCTCCTGAAATGAATTCAAACTTCTGGAGCATGGAGGTTACATAACAAGGGTCAGTATGCAAAGCCTAGTGCCAGAGATATGCAGCTGTTTCCCTCACTCACACTCCCTCCTTCTGATTATTGAACATGAGAATCCCAGTTGTATTCTAGATACAAATGCAAGCATGTTATATTCCAAAGCTGGGAGCTATTCCAAACTGGAGTGCTGGGGGACATTCAAGTTTAGCCTACTTGTTAGCATAGCATCCAGAATGCTGGAACCATAGGCATTCATTTCAAAGTTGCTGTATATTTAGTTTTCTCTCCCTCACCCCAATACATACTCTAACCCACCAGCAAAATCTCTGTTCCGTTGAATTCTTACAAAAATATCCTAAAACATCTGCTTAAAGGCTTGTGGAAACCCTATGCCAATTTCAAAAATCATATCAAGAAAAGTTAACCCTGGTTCAGCTAAACACCAAGACATTTGTGTACACATAATCATTGATACGATTCATTTTCGAGAGGTGAGCAATACTTCTAAATACCTTGTGGAAACAAGCCTGGGAAAAGAAGTCACACAGGTATTAGACAGGACTGGAAAATAATTAGGAAGCAATGGCTGCTGAGACTCGGATATTACAAATAAATGATCTAGATTCAGAGGATTATATGACTAATGCCAAGTCACTAAGTCTAAGAGCCCATAACAATAGGACACTTTGGAAAAGCAGAGTGGAGTATTTTAGAGTGCTGCAATATAGCTGTGTAAGCCTCAACTCACATAGTCTAAATTCCATATGGGTCCCTGTGTCTAGTGTTTCCTATTAGGTAACTCTGGGAGTTATTGGATTCAGGGGCCTAGGCTTAGTCTCCTTAAGGCTGAACTTTTGGGCTACAGATGTTAAAAACAAACAGAAAAATCCGTGCCAGTCAGGTTCTGTTCCCATTTTTAATATGCAATTCTAACCTAAAGGCTTGGTTCTGCCAAAGTCGCCTTTAACAGGAGGAAGGGTTGTCTAACATCGTCATGATTAAATCCAGTTTCTTCTGCCAGTAAGATTTATTCTGCATTTACAGAAGTGCAAACTAAAGCAGAACATCCTCTGTGCTTATATAGAGCATTTAAAACATGTATGTTTCTATTCAGATCTGTACAAATTTTCATATACTGTTCTCAAAGTCAGCCCAGAGGAGAAAGTGGTACTATCTAACGTCAGCATCAAGAGTCGCGACCTGAAAGAAATCAGCATGTCTGTAAACCCATTTGTGCAGAATTGGGCCTAGATACAGTACTTTGTTATGAAAGAACGGTCTTAATAAAAACAAAAAGATAGTTTAAAGAAAACCAGCTAAGAGCAACGTGTGTGCAATTCTGTCGTGCTACACAGCCATTGCTTAATTTATCTGTTAACTCCCCAAACACACAATACGATACTGCGGGTGTGTCCGAATTAAGACTCGATGTGTATTACGTGCGGTGAGTACCACTGGGCGTGAGGCGTTCGAGGTCCCGGAAAGCCCAGCGCGGCGCATTCCTGCCTCTGTGCCCTGCTGCTCCCGGCGCCGCTCCGCCCGCGCAGCGCTCCCGCCCCGCGCACCTGGGCCCGGCCCCGCGGCGCCCCCGCCTGGCACTGCCGGGGCGCCTCCAGAGAAGTTCCAGCGTTCCAACTACTGCAGCGTTTCCAGCTGCGAGAGTGAAGGAAGTGCCTTAAATTTAGCAGTCATAAGGTCCGGTGACTCTATGCCTCCATGGCCTCGAAGCTCTGACGACTCGATGAATTTGGTGCCAGGTATTTGGCTTTACAAATTTTCTGTAGAAAACACGCACAAACTGACTGAGTCATGAACAGCTAGCATCAGAAAGCTGCTGGGATGCAGCAACCAAACGCTCCTATGGATTGCACCTGGATTTCTGCAGTATTTGTTCCTCACCTGGAAGTCACACTTGCAGCAGGTAGCGGAGGGGAAGACTAGTGCCCTTCTGCTGAGTGCATTTCTCTGCTAAAGTATAAGGGCAATAGGGCAGTGGGGGAAAAGAATTCAGTTTCCAGTTGCTGGGATGAATTATAATGTAATCCAGACAAAGGAACAGAATTAAGGCTGCTAAGAAAATCTGTGTTCTGGCATCTCCTAATTTTTTTTTTTTTTTTTTTTTTTTGTGGGGGGGTAAGGGGGCCTAGACTTTGACACCATTATACTATTTATATTTTCTAATATGTTGTGTATATATACCATCATAGCTATATATAGTTGTGATGGAGTATTGTGTACCATTCTGCTTTTCTGCAGAACCCTAAATACATGTCCTAGCACTAGTACAAAGAGGTTACACCTCAAGACTTATATTTGGACTGTTCTTTTTACATACACACACACACATACACACAATCTCTCTCCAGCATTTGGGCATGCACATACAAGCACAGACTATCAATTAACCTTTGAAATCATGCTGAAAGCCTTGGGACAATCTCAAAATTACATCTGAGAACAACAAAAAAAAAAATCAGTGGCATATACACAACATTATTATTTACTTCACTTTGCTTTACTGGTACAGAGATGCTCCTTGAAAGCCATTTTTTGAAGTGTTTTATCTGCTTTTTCTCTGTTCACTTGAAATCATAGTTTTGTTTGTAACACTTCTATTATTCATACAGCAGCCAAGCCTGATTTTACAGGGATGATGATGATGCTTCAGGTGAAAAATAAAAGGATCAGAGGAACACCTACACATAAAGTAGTGTTCTCATGCCAAAACTTTTAGTCAGGAACAATCAGGTAAGAGAAGGATGAAAAATATAGAAGACATAAATAAAGTTTAGTATTTTTCACCATACAATGATCTTTAAAGACTAAAGATCATCATGTATTTGGGGTCACCTAGAATTTATAGTAGATGTCCCAAATAACATGTCACTTTAGCTAGAGCCTGTAGAGCCAAAGAAGCCTACAAGACATGTATTTAAGTCTTAAATCACAAGGAAGTCAGTTACAGTATTTAAACTGACTTTTCACAGATATAAGTGTGTCATTCAGTTTCTAATACCCTAAAAAAGCCAAAACCAATAATATCATCCAGTGGAAACCCTTTACAAAATCAAACTTATGATTTCAAGATCAGATATTTCTTATTTTAAGAAATTTTAACTTCATATATTATACCACTGTTTTCAGTCATCAAAGTAGTTTCAAGCTTATTATGGAAAGATTATTTCCTTAAACCAGAAAAAGTAACACACCAACACTTTATGTTTTTCTTTTTTCCTCCAGACTATAAAAAACCCACCCAAACTTTCTCCAAGAATAAAGATAAACAAAAATAAACATTTACCTCGAGCAATTGTCTGCAGGGGAAAAAAACTTCAGCTGCCTCTCACTTAGCCCAGCTTCAGCTGAAGAGGGAAGGTTGAAGGACAGCCCTATGGAAAGGACAGTGCGGTGAAACAATTTGTCACTGGCCTTGGCATTAAATCACCTGGTACTTCTCTCTAGCATTTTGGAAACTGGGCAGGATACTTCTGCTGTCACACTAATACAGAAAAAATCCTTTTTTTCCACTTAACCCTCCCAACCCTTCCCACCTCAGCCAGCCAGTGGCTGGTGACAGAGTAGGATGACATCTACCTACCATCCAGGCTGAAAAGAACCCAGTGACAGTAACCAACCCAGGCCACTATCCCTGTGTTCAGGAAAGGAACATGCATGCAAAAAGTCTCCTACAGGTGGTATAACAGGTTGAAACAAAATGCAGTGAAAAGATCAAATAAATGAAGACTTGCAATTTGTCCATTAACATCAGGAGTATTAAAGGACATTGTCAAGTTACTACACCCAAAAGTAAGACAGTGCCTGATTCACCTCTCAGATTAGTTTAGGTACTCACATCACAAGTCTGACCCAGAATACTTATAAATTACCAAAAATTGTAACATGCATATTATTTTGACACTTTAAGTCAGTAGGTTTGCTTTGGCTCAGCAAAATGAGCTGCAGTGGTGTGTTTTGTGCCTCTCAGGAGACTTGGTGTTCTTAGATAAGAAACCTCTAAATGCTACTCCAGGATTTAGCACCTAATCCACATTTCATAAAAATAATTCTAGAGAATGAAATAGGCTTTGCATCAGATCTATCAGGGTGTGTCTTCCTCCTCCATGGCCAGTCTTGCCTACTTGCTACCTACACCATGACACACAGCAAAACTGTGGCTGTCTGCATCTTGTTTGGCTGGCCAGAGGAGAAAGCTGGGCCAGTTTACCCCAGCAAACTCCACAGGCAAGTGTCCCACTTCCTGTAACCTTCAGAGTTGCAAAGCTGCACGAAACTCGACTCAAGAGAAGAGTGGCTGGACCATCCAACAGGATTTTCTGTCTTAGACACTGTTCCATGCAGCTGTAGAAATGTCACTTATGCAGCCAGAGGTTTACTCTGACCTACCCTTCCACTGGTGCTGTCATCCTAAAATTGTCACACAAACACAGCACAAATATCAGGCATATCTCTGAACTCAGAAAACAGAAGCAAAACCAGCTGGTTTCAGAAACCAGCACAGCTTGTTAATAATGTTTTAAGAAATACTACAGAGGTGACTTTAAACTGGAACTTTTATGAATTCATTCTTCCTAATGGATAGGACGAATTTAACACGTTAAGGCTAGTACAGCTTAGATAAAAGAATATCTGTATTCTAATTGCTTATATCCTTAGATTGTATCTACCGTAGCTCCACTTAATAGAATGTATTCATGGCACACATTCAGGGAACAATCAGAAAGATGTGCATTTCTTCTATGCCACACCTTGCACACTGCAGCTTACTACAGGCCAGCAGCACAAGAGACCACCAGATTCTGCAGCATTAGCTAAGCCTGAATAAATTATTTTTAACTGCAACTACCAAGCTCTTATCCTCTTTAGGGACAGCCACATTCTTTGTGTATGTGCTGCATATAAAAATTTTAATAACATCTTTTCCAGTCCCTGCAGCACTGCTTGCCACTACCAGCAACAGGCAGAAAGAAATCAGGGCCACTTAGTAACCCCTTTCCAGTGAGATTTTTCTTTTCATCAAACTATTTTACAATAATTCAGAAAGTCAGTAACCATTTCCTTTCAGCCACATTACATTTCTAGTGTATTCCAAGTTATTTCATCAGGAACCTAGGAGTAATGGATTTTTCCTTAAATTCCTCCCTAAAGCAAGCTCCCCTCAGTCCACCTACTGAAAGGGCATTGTAAGGTGGCAGAGAGTTTCAGTGATTATTTTCAATTAACCTGCAGAGAAGCTTTGGAACTGAACTTTATTCTTCCCACATAACTGATCTCAAGGAGTCATCTTTCCTTTTTTTCTTTTGTTTTGTTTTGGAGATTTCAGAAGATGAGGGGAAGAGGCAGAGGGAAATGAAAAACTGACTCATAAGACATTAAATGGCAGATAAAATGGTGACAAATTGACATATTTTAAAAAGTCCTAACACTGCATGTACACCTTCAGCCTCTGAATTACTTATTGCCAGTCAAGAACAAGATCTTGGGATATAACCAGCAATTATTTGAGAGCAGCTCACTACTGAACCACAAGTCAAAGACGACACACTCTGGGCATTGTGCCACAGCACAGGAATCTATAATGTGCTTAATTTCTCAATACTTTGTACAGTTTGTTAGAGATAGAAAAGGCACAAATAAGGATAACCAGAATGCTCAAAAGACATAGGATAATTTCTGTACCATCAGTTTGTACAACCAAAAATAAGAACAACTGTCCAGCTATTTGTTCAATATAAGCTTTTTTTATCCACCTGTTATGGTCTATTCCCATATCACAACTTTTACTACTAGAATAATTGCTTTAGTGAATCTGCCCCATAGAATTCAATCCAAAAAATTATGCTATGTAGGTAAAAAAGAATTTCAAAACAAAATACAGGTGTCTATCCAACTATTTTCACTTATTTTGTCAAAATAGTCTTTAAAATTTCTTCTGAAATGATCCTCCCTCATTTCACAGGGCTGATTACTGCATGAATATATGCAACTCTCTACAAGGAAGGTTGCTAATCACCTGTATTCCTTCCAAAATAAATTTTTAGTGGATACTCTCCTCAAGTAGAAGTACTTCTCTACTGAACACAGTATACATGCAGAACCAGCACACTGTACAAAGGCATTAATCTGCTCTTCCAATTTTATCCAGAACACAGGGAAGCAATTTTATTTCACTGATTTATCAATGTACAAGGTTCACCCTGTATGTTACTTCTTAGAAGTTCCCCTAGACTTTGAGCTTTCATACAACTCAGTGATAATCTGTATTTTCCTCTACTTCCACACTTCTGAAATCATTTGTTTCAGAAGTGCGGTTTTCAGCTGTTCTGAAACATCATTCCGAACAAAGATAAAATATGTTTAAGTACTCAAAGTGAGGATGCTCTACCAGCTGATGTAATCACACTTAGCCTTAGGAAAGCAGCCATTTTCTATAAAGAAAATAAGAAAACACTATTAGTCAACTTCCACTGAGTTTTTGCCCAGGTAGAGGAAAAAAAAAAAAAAACCACAACAAAACAAAACCTACATATCACACACAATTAAATCTCATTGGGTAATTAACACAGTTCAAACCCTGTGGCCTAATAGTCTCTTAAGGGCCCTAGAAGCTCTTAACCATTTCATATAGACTTCTGTCCTCCTTCCTGGTTTCCCACAAGGTTATAGTACAGAATTTATATGATCCTATATAGGTATGTAGGATCATATAAATGATTTTTTCTTGGGACCTTCAGAGCTTTCCTCCTCCCAGTTAGAAAGTGCTTTCTCAAGGAAATAATAGCTCAACCAAGCTCATAAACCATCTTCTATATCCTACCTCCTCATTCAATTTCCATCCAATCAAGCTGAGAGATAAAGTTTTTTTAGTTGGTCTTGTTTTTGTTTTGGAACTGTGAACTGATATATTACATCCTGTATGTGAAATAATTATTGCTTCAATTCTACGAAGCATATAAGTAGTTTCAGTTGTCTTCAGACTTTCAAAGATCGTTACAACACAGTGCTATGACTACCCTATCTGCACTATTGTTTTAATTTAGTCATTTATTTAATATTTCTTCCCTGAAATAGTATATTGTTTTCATTTAGTGTTGTGTGTCTTGTCTAATATGTTTTTATTTCATCATTTTCCACAGGTACACAAAAATGACAGATCATAAACTGTGCAGAAAGGTAATTGTATTAGTTTGTACTAGTGGGAGTTCCTGCAGTGCTACTCCCATGGGCAGACTTCTACACTAGGCACATGCTTTGAAATCTACAGGCTGGTATCTATACTGGTAGTAACACGCAACTACAGATCACTATTCCTGGCTTCAATTCAGTACCCAGAAGAGCAGCAGCTTGAAAACCAGGCCTTAGAAGGGCTCCATGAAGCAGAGCATCTATGGAGGCAACAATGAAACAGGAATTCCAGAAGACTGGAAGGCAATGTCACTATCCATTTTAACTATCAGGGTACACATGCAATTAGAATGACCAAAGGCACAGCAGTCTAAGAACAAAATTTAAGACTGAGCCACAGTGACACATCTGGAAGCATCCAGAACATATATATAATAATATAAATTACTGTATTGTATGACATTATATATTACCATTTAATATATATTACTGTATGTTATTATAGTAATACAGGCATATAAATAGTAACCAAGACATGAGTAGACAATATACATTATCATTATGAGACCACGTATCTGCAGATTATCTGCAACTTTCCTTCAAGCCCTTCCCCAGTCACCAAATAAATCAAAGAACCCACACATAACCTCTACAGAATACAGATATATGGAGACTGCTTTCCCATGGTAACCTTCCCTCCTCTCACCCTTATTCCTCCAGAATATGCTCCTGAAAATCCTCAAAAGAAACTTGCTCACCCCACTTTACACGCCAGTAATAGGAAGCCTCCCACACCAATCTGCATCCACTGAGCTGAGCTTCTTCCTCCTGCTGCCATGCTCTCCCTGAGAGAGGATTCAGAAGAGAATGAGAGATGACTTCTTTACCTCATAAAACTTTCATTCCCTTTCCTTAAAATAAAAACAAACAAACAAAACCCACCCCCAAAAAAATACTTGAAACAAGAAATTCCAACACACATCTTCAAAGATGAGGTGGGAGGGAAGGAGACTAAGCAAGTCAATCCTGCATCATTCAAACAGTACCTTTACAAAGGGAATATCTACAGCACAATGCACTCAAGACAGCTCAGGAAGCCCACACTCCAAAACAGTGTTCATTACTGTCCATTTCCGAGAACCACCCTCATATGATTATAATGCCTCCTTGCACACAAGTCTCTCCAATAACTTGCTTTCCTCTGCACATGCACGGAACATAGACTTTGAGAAATGAGGTATTAGTAGCCCTGTAACACTATATCTTTAGTTGGTAGGAACTTCAAAGATAAAGTTGTTTTCTGAAAGCAAAACACTGACTTCCAGATCGAAATTTCTAGAGAAGGGTTATTTCCTGCAATATAATCGGTCTGTACATGTGTTCAAAGCCTCATGTATTTAATATAGAAGTCTGCTAAGAAAGATAATTCCTATGGTCTGTGTCACAAATTTTTCTTCCAGACAGAAATCAGCTGTCAGAGCCCTGACATCTGCTATTGATGTGTAAAAGCAAAACAGTTCACCTCTTCTGTATAAAAGTACAACCTTAATACCCAAAGCAGGCAAGGGAGACTATGAAGCAGCACACAAGATTTTGACCCCAAAAGAGAATACTTCCTTGGAGATGCTGACTAGTTCTTTTCCTGGCAAGTTTTAAATACAAGACTAGAAATCAATCTTGTAACTGCAAGCTCTTTGTGTATTAGAAGCTCATAAGCCGAACAAATGAGTTTGGAGGAAAAAAAGCTGCCAGCTGCCACTACTCTAATGACAGCACTATTTACACCAGGAACTTGACCTTCCAATGGAAATTTTGAGTTTTCCCCCTAAAAAGGGGCAGGATAGCATTATTCAACACAGGTTTCCTCACCATCAGGATCTTCTACTCTACTATGGCTCTGCAAGGAATGTAAGTTCCAATTCAGCATTCTGGCAGTGTAAGCTTTGTTAGCATTCCTACCTGCTTGACTAATTTCTTTACCATCTGCAGACATGATTTTTTACCAAAAAAAAAAAAAAATTAACAAAGAAGCCAATTTTTGTTTTGAACTGACATGTCAGAGCTATAGCATGATAGGAAACATGGGAGAGCACAGACATCTTTGTGATCAACATCACTTTCAAATCTCATGCCTTCAAATTAGCATTCTCCCCATCCATAGACTGAAATAAGTGGTAATGAAGTTCTGGTTTTGTAGACAGAGATATGTTATCTATGTGTATACGCACACAATGTTCACAAGCTCACACCACCATCAGGACAGGCGAACATCCTTACATATTTAATAGTCCTTAAACTGGGGCCACAAGTAATAATGACAGAAGTCAAAAACCCACAAAAGATATTTCAGAGTGTTAAGTAATAACTCATGTTACACATTAAATAATATTTAAGGTATTTAGCTGAAACATCAAAAATTTTCAAAAGAATTACCCATGTATCCAGCACTGCCATTCAAAAAACAACATGCTATTTTGAAAGAAAAGAGAGCAGACCATGGCAAACAGAAGGTCTCAGAGGGGTTTTACCAAAGACCATCTCTTGGAATGTGCCAGCCCATCTGAAGAGACCCATAACACCATAGCTCCATTTCTACCAATACACAGAACCATGTACATTTTTGGCACCCACTCATGCCTGCATGTTCTGCAGTCCATCTTCTGACTATAATCCGAAATCATAAAGTCCGTCCACAGGTGGCATAAATAATTTTTAAATGCGACTTACTTCTGGCAAATTCTACATACAAATTATTATTTTGGATCCACAGGAAAAAGATAAATTCATTACTGATCAGACTATCCAGTAAATTATGTCTAAGCATTTCTATTAAGAAAAGCATTTAAAAGAAGGCAAGGTTTGACCAGCATATGCCTTACTCCCAAAGATACTTGACTGGAAGAAACTTCAGGTGTAGTGTCAGAGCAAAATTTGAATGTGTATCACTTATATATTTTATATATTATAAAAATAATATATATTTTATAACTAAAAGACATACATATATATAAATACTAAGAGCTGGTACATACCTCATGGGCATTTTTTTAATGACCTCCGACCTGCTGGGTAGACAAAGAAAGGAGCTTCACCTTCTCACTTGGAGGGAAAGTCTGGCTAAAATATGCAACCCCAGTGCCCCTGGAATTTAGGGCTATAAATACAAATAAATACACTTTTACAAAGAGATACATTGGTGCATTTCTGCTTCAAAAATCGATTTTTATAGGGATTCAATACTTGGTACAGAAGACCCTACAGAGCCAAGACGTAGTGGTTTTGTGCAAATGCACTGCTGCCCTCTTCTGGGTCAGCTCCGATTCGCTCCCGTCCTTAAAACACCCAGCAGACTATCAAGGGGAGTTGCACCTCCAAGACCATCAGGACCACTTTGGGAGCTCGAGATTTAAACTAGACAGAGCAAAAAAGTGAAACATACACATATACAGAATAAACGCAGGAAGTTATTGATCTTTATAGAAACCGAATTGCAACAATTCATCACCTTAATTCCTTAAATCCTACAGCAGTGTCTTTCTTTGTTTAGATGGAAGACATTTTTCCTAATAGCCACCAAAATGGTTGTCAAGCATTGGGACAAGCTGTAAAAGCAGTGGAGTCATCATTCCTGGAGATATTTAAAATATGTGTAGATATGGCACTTGGGGATGTAGTGTAGTGGCAGACGTGGCAGTGTTCAGTTAGTGGTTGGACTCGACCATCTTAAAGGTCTTTTCCAATCTAATTGATTTTATGACCTAATGCCAGAGAATCCAAAAGTTATTTACTGCATTAATTTACCATGGCCCAGCATAATATTGCATGGCCCACCTTCATATAGCATGGCCCACCTTCATATTGCATGGACCAGCTTCATATTGCATGGACCAGCATAATTACAGCAGAGCCTGTGGGACAGCACGGCATTTTGAAAACTATGATAAAATGGCAAATAGCAACGTTCACAGAGCCTTTGACACTATTATTGCAGAACTGCTGCAGCTCATAATGCAGAGTAAGCACAAAGACTCTTAAAGTGCTTTGGTTTCAGCAGTATTAGAAAAAACACAAGTTTTACTATTAGACAAAATCCTACTTTTGATTACCCTGCATAAACCCTGGGTAATCCATGGGCCCAGGTACCCTTCCCACTTATCAAAGCTTAATGAGTTATCTTACATAAGCTGAGCTTTAACAGGCAGAACACAGGTTTAGCCTCCAGAAAGCATGAGAAAAAATACAGCTTAAGCCTCAGCAAAAGAAGAGCTTAGACAAACTAATTTTAATTTTGAGATGCAACTAGTAAGAATGAACACAGACTCAGACTCTGCAGTTCATCTGAAAGGCAACTCATTAAACTGTAGTGATACAAAACCTACATTCAAATCTTAAAGTCTAATGTTATTGATAAAACTTGGTCTTTACTGAATGTTTGAACATAATTTACAAATACATTTCAATCAACTAAATAAGCATAATCCGAACATATCTATTTAATCAACTACAGTGGTGTAAACCCAGTCCCTCAGGTCAAGGAATTAGAAAAACAGCCAAGGTGGACACAGCGGTAGAGTGCATTCCTCAGGGCAGGATGGTCTGCGCCAGCTCATGAACCAGCCTGAGATGAGCTCATGAAATCTTTACCAGCACAAGCACAGCAATTCCACAAACCCAGAATGGAAACTGGAAACAGAATGGTCACAAAGCAGCTCTCAAACTGCTCACACTTCTGGCCATAAGCTCCATGGAAGTTGGCATTGCTGCACAGTTGTAGGTAAACCTACAACTCCAACCTGAGTATAGCCTGCAAAACAAACTCTGCACTAGGAAGGCCTCAGCTGAGTAGTGGTATATCCAGTTTTTAGGAACACACTTCAAGGAAAGATCTGTTCTCCATGAAAGGGGTCCAAAAGAGGAAGCAAGTAGCATCAAAGGTAAAAGTTGTCATCTGTAATATCCTAGTAGAATGGTATTCCTGAGGCAGTCTTCAATCTACAGACAATTATTCAAAAGGGACATCTTTTTCACATTTCAAATATGGAATATAGCTGCAGAGAACAAGATAACAAATTGTTTTCTATATCTACAGAAGGAAGAATGTTTTTAAACTGCAGCAATAATACATCAGGAAACCTTTCAGTGAGATGTAATAATAAATACTAAAATAAAATAGTCAGTATAAACCAAAATAAAAGGCTTTAGGAAGAGGTTAGACAAACTATTGCTAAGGAACAATGTACGGGTGAATGTGTGCATTTTGTTTATATATTTACATATTTGTATATTTTATTTCCGTGCATACATGGAAAACCAGTGAAATATCTTCCAGTCTATTCTTTATTAGCTTTCATAGTAAGTACCTGCAATACAAATGAGAAAACAAATCATTTAATACACTTCCTCAATGGTAACTATTTCAGTCACAGGAATCCCTCAGCTTATAAGCAGCATATATTGGTCACAGAACCTTGAATATTGCTCACTGGGCACCAGAAATTAAAGAGACGAAACAAAACTAATGAACTAATGGACTATTACCCACAAGCCAGGAAATACCAGGAAAAAACCACTCCCTAGAACCCCGTGCATAGGTGTACCAGCATCAAATTTACATCAAGTACAAACACCATATAAACCAACTTTGTATACAGTCAACACCAGTGACAGTTTTAGAAACAGTTCACCTTTAGTATGTACTTTTCTCCTATTACTGTATTAAAATTCAAAATTATCTTGTGAAAACTAAAGATCACTATCATGAAACCGCTACCTTATAAAGACAGAGCTCACAAACTGTATGTTGCAAGCCACAGGTGACTTCTTCAGCTGTTTGTATCCTTAAGTGAATACTTTCCAAGACTATTTCAACTCTATGCATTTTGAATTTAAAACACAGATCATGCAATGAGAAACAAAAAATACTATCTCCCAAAAATTACTCTCTGGCCAATTAAGACAGCAAACTTGTGCAAAGTCTAAACATCAAAAGTAGCAAAAACCAATTGCCTATTTTCCCAGTACTGGCATTCCTTATTTAAGTTATTAAAGCAATCAAAAAAGCCTCTCATCTTTCTGGAAGCAAAAAGGCTAAACCATTATTTTTCCACAATTATTTTAAGTATAGATTTTTGTTTGTTTGTTTTAACCTTAATCATTCATTAAATTAACAAACTTTTTTACAACCCTGGTTACACCTTTCTTTAAAGTCCTAGATGCTAAACAAGCGGGAATGTCATTGTACAAGAACTGCTTACGGTCACTTAAATGAAGGATTAAGAAGAGAAGGGGTTTATTACTCGGACTAGGAGGAGATGGGAGCTATACCACACCCTTGTGGCGCGAGGAGCAGCGAGGAGCTGTCACCGATTGCCGCAGCCCGAGCTTGGCGCCCACCTTGTGCCTCAATACTGCCCACCAGTAGAAGGTGGGCAAAATAAGAAAATCAAAATAAGAAAAAAATTAAGCACCATGACTCTCTCTCAGCCGGGAGAGTCACTTTCAAGACATTATCTTTTCTGATTTTTGATAAATTCAGAGCGTTTGTAACAGCTTTCAGCTACCCACTGCCAAATGAGGGCTTTGAGGGAGCCAGCGATATACGAGAAGGAACAGGAGATACCCTTTCGGTGTCCCCTCACAGCACGCCACCTCCCAGCAAACCCAGGCTGCCTCTGCCCTGCGTTGCTTCCCTACCGTTCTATGCGACCCTATGGGCCCCGCATCCATCCCCTGCCGTGCTAAGCGCCCCCTCCCAGCCCTCACCCTCAGCGGCCTCAGCGTCGCACCCGCTCCCTCCACCCGCCCTCAAGCCCGCCCCCGCCCCCGCCCCCGCGCGGCGCACGCGCCGGCCAGCCCTCCTGCGGTTGGGCGGGAGAGCTGTCCGTCAAGCGGCGGGAGCGGCTGAGCGCCAATGAGATGCGCCCCTGGCGGCGTGGGCGGGAGCTGGCGGCAGCGCGGACGCGGCGGGTCCGGCGCGGTGAGGGACGGGTGGGCCTGGGGTGGTGGTGTGGTCGTGACTGCCCTTCTGCCTCTGGGGTTTTGGCCTCAGCGCTGCGGGGTGGGCCGCGGAGCTGGTCCGGGACTAGTGGGGAAGTGCATAGGCGTAGGGGGGCGGCTGTGTTGCGGCAGGCCGGCCTGGTCGTTACAGGTTGAAACTGTTTGAAAAGAGGTCGCATTAAGAGACTTGTCCTGACTGCTGAGCTTCCAGGCAAGTAGCGGTGAGATGTGTGTGTATGTTTGCTTTAAGAGTAGAAATGCGGAGAAGCTACCGTCGAGGCAAGGAGAGGCGCGGATGGAGCGGTCCCAAGCGCGGCCACCCCCCGCCCTGGCACAGGAGAGCCGGTCACAACAACCGCGCCCAAAGGCAAGTACGGGCGGCTTGTGCTTGGCACGGGCTGAGCCGCTGGGTCTTATCCCGAATTAAATGTGCAGAATGGTGACTTTCTAGAATTGAGAAGGTTGCCGCCTGAAGATCTAGTAGACGGTACTTCTGTCGTTCCTGGTGGAAGTGGAATTGCGCCGATTTTTGGAAGTTTATTGTGTGTTCACAACTGTACACTGATTTTAAATTGATATGCAGTTCCATGAGCCAGTCCTTTCAGCTGTGCATTATCCACAAACCCTTCATCAATATGCAATGATGGTTCAGGGAAGAAAAATATAATTACTTCATTCTACCTGCCTGTTTAGTTTAAGCTTGAGCCTTTTAGTGTAAAATCTGGATGTTTGAAAGCATGGTAAGTAATGTGGTAATACCATATCTAACAGATGAGAAAAATGAAACAAGGGCTCGGGAATAATCCCCTGCCTCGAAAACTGATCCTTTCAGAAAACACGTTTTATATTTTAGAACTTACACTTGCCTATATTTGAGCTGTTTTTATGGTTGCTTTTTCATTCCCCTCTACTTTCCTTAGTGCCTCTTGCAGGACTAAAAGAGCCTAATGCTTTGCTTTAATATGCTAAAGTGTGGGGTTTTTTTTAAAACCTATTTTTAGGAAAAGAGGCACACATATGAGTTGCCACACTAGTTGTACTTGTGTAAGAAAACTTAGAAATACAAACAGGCGCTACTTCATTGAGCAGAATTTTAAAAAGGTTTCTTACAGACCTTTAAAATTAAGTGTTTGGGTTTTATCTGGAGTGTTTTTTTCCTGTTGTGTTCTTTAAGTGTTTCAGAATTGTATAATCAAACCGCAATAGAGCTGGTATTAGAAATAGAGTTTCTTTGTAGTTTTGTTTTCAATAAATTTTGGCTCTTGCAAAACAGCTTCACCTACTGCTTTTAAGATGACATGTAATATGACTTGTCTTAAAAAGTGAGAATTGTGCAGGTGATTCAGAAAACATCCTAGTGGAAATTTGCTCATCAGTACTGAATGTGCTCATGTATATTAGTTCAAAATGGGGAAAGCTGCAGTTACCCCCTGTAATGTTTATTAGAAAACCAGAGACTTTTCTTGGAATTTTCATTAAACTTGTGTTTATTTTGCATGTTTCTAAACCTTATCAGTTAAATTCTTGTTATGGAGAGAATGGCAAAACATTTTTGACCTGACATCAGTGTTTTCTCTACACTGTCTTGTTTGTGCTGTGAAGACTTGCATGGTTTCAGGAGTGGGCTGTTGGTTTAATGTAGAATTGTCCAGTTAATCTTTTGCTAAAAAAAATTATAGGCCCTTGCAGAATCAACAGCAACCTCTAATGTATTAGCAAGTAATTTAAGGTTTTTAGGATGCTGGTATCACTAATATTCTTGAGAAATTTTTAAGCTGACTATTTGTCACTGTTTTATTTCCATAGTTTAATGTATGGTGATATGCAGAACGTGCTGTCAGAGCACTACAGAATGGTACTCCATTGATGTCAGTAACAATGTGCTATGTAGTCTCTTTGTGGGAAAGATGGGTGGGGCAGTTGTGAGCCTGTCTTGAAAGCAATGCTATTTTTTTAGTCTGGAGCAAGAAGAGACACAGACTCCAGTGAATGCAGGTTCCAGCAGCAATGAAGATCCTTCGTCATCCAGTTCAATGCAGAACTCTGTAGCACCCGGTAAGAGATGGTTTGTATAGGTCAAAAGTCAGTTCCTATATGCTGATTGTATGACAAAAGTAGTAGTAGCTGTGTTAATAATCTGGTGTGACAGGAGCCATACAAACAGTAAAGTTTGTGGAGAAAAGTAACATCAGGTAATACAAAAAGATGTAGTAAGTAAAGATTTGGAGAACAGAGCCAAATCAATTTCAGGCCCACAAGTGCTTCTCATTTTTGAAAACTTGTATGCTTAGCCAAGCTGATATAAACTGAAAAAATGCAATTCTGGTTTTCCCTCCAGAAAGGCTTTAGGAAGAAAATTAACTACTAAGGAAGCAAATAAAATAAGAGAGCATATAAAAAAATTATAGCTTGTGTTCACTCAGTCTTTTGAAAGGCACGACAATCGACAATCCACCGCTTTGTGGTGTGTCTCTTGTGTGATGTGTCTCTTTATGCCTTCAGTGTACTTTGTAGTCTCTAATAAATAGACTCTAGCTAAATACTTGTTCATTTGCAACAAATGATGAGGTAGCGGTGCTGTTGAGAAAGATGTCCTGTTTACGTTCTGGTTTCCTGACTCATTAAACAATGCTAGCAAAAACTAAGCCAGTGGGAACTTACATTTCTGTACAACAGGAGAGTCCTGGAACAACACAGAGTTTAAAGAGATTGTTTTTGTATATCACTGTTTTGAGTTGTGAGCATGCTAGGAGATGTATCCTGCAAGACATTTATTCCTGTGTAGTTACTGTGTAACTGCTAAATGTAGTGTGCTTTTATAAGCTTTACTGATTCATTGACTAACTTCTTATTTTCACTGACCTGAAAAAGTCTTGGTCACTTGTGGCTGAGCTGAATGGTAATCAGCTGCAAAAAGAGGATACTTAAAATGAAATTTCTGGTAGTAAATAAAGTTTTAAATAAAAACTCTTGAAATGAAATGTTAACAATTGCCTCTGAATAAATATCTTTCTCTTGAGATAATCTGAAAAGTATTTTAAATCTATCATAGTATTTTATTTGTCTGCCTCTGCATTCACACAGACAGTGAAGCTCTAAAACTGAGTGCTTCTCTTCCCAATTTATCTTTGGAAGAAGCCAAATGTACTCTTGATTTTATCTGAATCTCTCCTTTGTTCTGAGGAAAAAATGTCTAGTTCTGGGAAGTGAATCACTTTGAGTTTATTTGATACCACATTGTCATGTTTTTTGCTGTCCTACCAAGTGTTTTACTTAAGAACGTCCCCTCGTTATTTATTTATGAAGAAAGACCACTTTTGTTCTGCAACAAAACCTTTCTTTTGTGCTTTTCTGATTGGTCTGAATTTCCTCTTGGTCAGTAGTATGTCCCTTCTGTAGCTGTGTAAGAGCAGTGCATTGGAATACTATAAATAACCTCATTTTTTCTCCTGTAAGTTGCTCGTCTGTTCCTACTCTGTGTATCATGCTTGGAACTTGTTGGGAGCTAGAGCTTTGGGTCTCACAACTCTCACATTCACATGAAGACATGGAGTATCAAAGAGCAATAAACAAACTTAGTTATCCATCTGATTTTGCACTTCTTCTCCCCTATGTCTCCCCCTGAAGAACTGCCAGGATTTTATTATGACCCAGAAAAGAACCGCTATTTTCGCCTACTTCCTGGACATAATAACCACAACCCCCTCACCAAGGACAGCATTCAGAACAAGGCAATGGAGTGCAAAAGACTGAGACTCTTAGAAGAGGAAGAAAAACAGAACCAGGTATGTTTTGGAAAAGATTACAATTAAGCTTTATTGTACTCTGGCCCCAGACATGTTATAAACTTAAGTCTTCAAGTTCTGATGATTCAGTTTCTTTTTCTGCTAATAATAAAGTCCTTGAAGCCTTTTGTTTGGCTCTTCCACACAGGAATGAAGTCAAGTCACTACAAACAAAGAAATCTATAAAGACACCGGGAACTGTGCTCAGAATTGCAATTGTCCGATAGTTACACTTGAGTCAGGATATTGGATGCCAGGTTTCAAGTTCCTGCCTTGAATTGGCAAAGTGTGGTCTTGATTTAAAGTTTTTCACGTTTTTAATAAATTTATTAATCATATTCCTGGACCTTGAAGAAACAATAATAATCATAGGTGGTAGAAAGCTTTTTCTTGAAGAACTTTTTTGGACAGCTAAAATCAAGCCAAGTCTTATGTTTATGTCTGGAAAGCCTGTGTGCTTTTTTTCATAAAGTGTTACAGTGAAATGAATGCTGATGCTGCATATTTGTAATATGGGGAAAATATCTAACAAGGATGCTTTTTCATTACCTGAAAAACATGTCTTAAATCTTTACAAATAGCAGCTCAGCTTACATGCTATCATTTGGAAGAAGTGAATAGTGTTCTTTTTCTTTAAGCAGTAAAGTTCTCCAACCAGCTCTTTAGCCTTCAGTGTAGAGAACATTTTGAAACACTCAAACACTTGCTTTGTCTGAACATTATCAAAAAGATTTCTTACTCCATAATTCTGCTAAATACTCTATCCCTTGGTCTCCTCAGAAGGTGTTTGCATTAAATTCTAAAAGGTTTGTGAATCATGGAATGGAATCATAGAATGACTTGGGTTGGAAAGGACATTAAAGATCATCTAGTTCCAACCCCAGTGCTGTGGGGGTAATGGAAATGGAATGGAAAGGCAGTTTAGTACAACAGTAAGACTTCACGTTTAATATCAGTCTTGTTGTGATAGAAGATTTTGCTGTATAAGAACT